AAATTCAGAACCACTGGTTAAGACAATCTCATACTCAAACAAAGACATACTTTTACCTTAGAGACAGGCAGAAAGAAAGGAAAAAAAAAAAAAAGTAGGGAAGGAAGCAGAGGGAGGAAGGGAGAGGAGGGGAGGGGAGAGGAGAGGAGGGGAGAGGAGAGGAGGGGCAGGATATAATGTGAGCAATTTAAACACAAAACAAGGTGCCTGAGGGGAAGAGAGATCATTAGAACTCTGGCCCCAATGAGAGATGATGCATCTCTGGGAAAAATAAGAAAAATGAAATGAGTTTGCCAGCAGCAGAAAGGACCAGAAGCAAAACGGCACAGGGAATGGTAGGTTGCAGGCGAGTTCTCAGACTCTCCAAAGACCTCAAAGGGAGCCCTTCTGCACGGCTACGGGGTGGGCGCTGGCAATGCGGAGATCCCGGCACAGCCACCAGGCCGAGGACGAGGCCACACACAAGGCTGGGCTGAAGGACAGGGCCTGTCTGGAGCAGAGGACTGAAACTAAACTTCACAGTGCCACTGCACTGCCACAGCAGCCCTGACAGCCCTCAAAGACGCCCCGCAGCCACTGCTCACAGCCACAGCCACATTTCAGATGCATCTTTCCTCTTCCAAAGGAAAAAAACAAGCAGCAGCGTGAGGACCTACTCATCAACTGCATTGTGTGTGGTTTCGCACCTTAAGCAGTAAGTAGCCAAGGAAGACAAACTCTGGCTTGCAGAGGGGACACCTCTCACCCTCCTACTGAGATGGAGAAGGTACCCAACGAAGATGTCTGGAGTATGGTCATCCACCCCAGGCCTCATGGCTCCTCAGTCCCTTAGTTGAGCCCATCCTTGGGTTCCTTCTTCGAGATCTGCCCCAAGTAATTTTTAGAAATATTCTCAGGAAGATAAGGCAGGGAAATACTATATGCAAAAATATGTTCTGGGTGAGTCAAAGCTGTAAGTTTTGCACTTAAAAGCATTATATAAAATATAATTTGGGAGGGAAGATGGGGGCGGGGGGGAGGAATAGATTAACCAAAGAACTTATATGCATATATGCATAACCC